AGTGATAAAAAACTTGGAAGAGGATTCAAAAAAGTGATTCTCCAAGGATTTATGAATTAATAAGGTCAATGAATGAATAAAGGTCATTAATTAATAAAGAGGAAGTGGGAATGCAACCTAGGTAGAAACAACAGAACAAAAGTATAAGGGGGGGAAATTCAACACATGTATATGCCCCTGCTGGGCACTCACACTAGTGAGAAAGGAAGGGTGATTAGTGGAGGCAAGTGTAAAGCCTTAATTCTAACCTTGAAACAAAGATTTTGAAATACAGCTCTGATAAGCAAGAAATGGGTATTAAAGATATTTGACCAAGAAGACAAATACAAGAAGAAAAGGAATCCAACATTAAATATAACTGCTGAAAACCAAAGATGCCAGAGGCTGAGAGTCCTGCTAGAGGCCTGTGCAATACAAGTACAGTCACAACTACAGTGAGTTCTTAGTGTTTGCCAAGAATAATGCTAAAAGTTTTATAAACATAATTCAGCTCTTCTAAGAAATCTGGAAAATTATTACTATCAAATGTCTTTTAAAAGTAAAGAAACACAAGCTTATTGAGCTTAAGGTTCAACTTCATTCTGCTAGTGAATGTCAAAGCAATGATTAGGGTTCAAATCTATCAACTTCCAAGTATATGTTCTTAATCACTGCTGATGTACCCCAATAATATTATAACTGCCAAAAGTAGGGCAGCAGAAATGTTAATAATCCCTTACATATGTATAGAGCTGTGTGGATTATAAAATACTTATACCTACACTTAGTACTCAATCCTCATAGCTACCTATTGACACAGGCAGGGAAGGCTATTAATCTGCTTTACAGAAAAAGGCAGACTTTGCGAGGTTAAGTATCTTCATGGAGGTCAGAAGCCCAGCAGATGATTGATAGAGCTGAAACAAGAACTCATGTTTTCTTATTCAATATTCAACCAGCACTCTTGTTCACTCTGCTAGCACACAACTGCAGGAAGTGATTTTGTTCTCTGCTATAGTCTTGGTGTCTAGAACAGTCCTTGACACATAATAAGAGCTCAATAAATATTTGTTCAATAAAAGAACAAAAATGAGGTCCCATTAGCATTTAATAAAAGTGCTACTCAATTATGTGGAATTATGATGTCAGGTTCAAATTCACAATCATATGCCTGTACTTCATCTCTTTGGTTAAATGGGCTGGTTCTCTCAACAATACATCAGATATGAATTATGCTTAAGTACTTACTGGAAACAGCTGCAAAGGGAAATGGCACAGTGAGGGGGTACCCGAGTGAAGGGATAAGGAAGTGTTATAGACCAGAGCAGTCCTACATAGTACCTCAGCTACCACCTGCGGGGTGGGTGTCACTCAGAATTTGGTGACAGTTATCAGAGGCCAAAAGTCCAGAAAGAAACTGAACGTTAATAAAGTTAAATAAATAAATATTTATAAATAAATATAATAAAGAAACAACTCTCTTTATTATATAATTCATTGTGAAAATGCAACACAAGTATCACACAGCATATTCTTTTAGAGAAAAGAATTATTATTTATTAACAAATTTAAATGTCTAATGTGATTCATTTTGGAAAATTAAATGCAAATAATGGCATATTCAAATTTAAGAATTGTGATAAGGCTCTTGAAATTTAATACTGGTATTATTTATATTTGATACATATTTTTGGTCTTTATACAAAAATGAAACCAATAGTTAAAATTTTCAGAATACAAGTGATTTTTCTGACTTATTATTGATTCTGCTATGTGTAAATAAAAGTAAAATGTATTTTTTTAAACAGGTAATTGAATAATGAGAATAATTTCTGTGGTTAGCACAATTTTTAAAAGGGAAATAGTAGCTAATATTGAATAATGCATTTAAATATTAGAATAAATAGTTCACCTTTATTGAGTGTTTACTTTGCTCCACGAGCTGTACTAAATGCTTTATATACGTTACTTCCTTTACTCTTTGCAAATCTATGAAGGTTTGGTGATAACACTCCCAGGGACAGATGAGGAAACTAATGCTGAATAACAGGTGCCTCTGAGCATATGGGTATGCTACATAGCCTCTCTATACCCCAGTTTCTTCTTCTATAAAGTGGAAATAATAATACTGTCTCTCAGAGGTGTGAATGTAAATAGGACTTGGGACAATGCATCAAGATAGGGTTTAACACAGTAGGTACTATGTTCGGTCATCCTCTTCTAAGTGGCTGCCCTGTCAGCAGGAAGGCAGCATTAACCTTTGGGCTGGGAATAAGCTAGAGAAAATACACAGCTAATATTAGAAGTCATTTCTGACAGAAAGAAAACAAAAGAAACCAGAGATGCCAGAAATGGTCCTCTGAAATTAAATGTTGACACCAACACTATACCTTTACTCACTCTGAAATATAGAAGCTGGATCTCATAGTAGCTTTACAATTTGATGACAGACCAGTTTCCTTGATCATTGTACTGAGAAAAAGTATGGGCAATAAATGAAAAATTCAGTTCTAAGGGGATGCTATTTTGATGGGAAAATTTGTAACTAACAATATTATAGGAAAAATTATTCTAAAGTACTAACCTCCTCCCATCTAAAAAAAGGACTTAGATGACATTCTGTAAACACAAATGAATTAGGAATTAAGTACTAACATTTATTGGGTAGCCACCATGGGTCGGGAAGATCCGCTGGAGAAGGCTACCCACGCCAGGATACTTGGGCTTCCCTTGTGGCTTAGCTGGTAAAGAATCTGCCTGCAATGCGGGAGACCTAGATTTGATCCCTGGGTTGGGAAGATCTCCTGGAGAAGGGAAAGGCTACCCACTCCAGTATTCTGGCCTGGAGAATTCCATGGACTATACAGTCCATAGAGTCTCAAAGAGTTGGACACGACTCAGACACTTTCACTTCACTTCACCATGTACCTGGCATAAGATATCTACAGGTAGATAGATATAGGTATCTTCTCCTCTCTCTCTCTCTCATTTATTCTTAACCATATGAAGTACAAGAAGTTACTGTAACCACTCAAGTTCACTTGTTTAGTGTCACAAGACTGAGTGATTAACACACACACACAACATCCAAAACATTAATAATCAGCTCTCTTGTTTTTGCTTCCAACACCAGCACCTCATTGAACTGCTATTAGGTCTTGCCTGGGCTTCTGCTGTCTGTGTGTGTGCCTGCTGCCTAGCGTGTTACTTTTGCTTTCCTATAGTCCATTCTCTACCTGGTAGACTGTGTATCAGGCCACCTCACTCCCCTGTTAAAAAATACCCAGTGGCTTCTACTGCAAACAGACTAAAACCTGAGCTTCTGACTCTGACTCACCAAACTCCTCTCTCCTCCCACCTCACATTCCTTCCCTCTCATCCTAGCCCACTACGCCCCAGGCTCCCAATATACCCTCTAGCTCATTCTCACCTGAGAGCTATTTTTGTTCCCTCTGCAGAGAAAGCCCTTCCTCCTAATTTTTGCATGTCTGGCTCCTTCTTATCATTTTGATTTTGTTTAAATTTCACCTTGTCTATGCAGCTTTCCCTATAACCAATCAAAGTGGTCACAAGCCACATTTCCTATTGTAATTTTAATTATCTGCAAGACACTGAACACTACTGATAATTCTCTAAGTTTATTTATGTATTTGCTAGTTAATCTTCTCATTGGAATGTAAGCTGAAACATGGCAGGGAGCCTTATCTGTTTGATTCATAACTAGCCATTTAATGCCCCCAAGAGTACCTGACATGTAATATACACTCATTGAATACTTGTTGAATGGAAAGAATGAGCATTATATAATCAAATATTTACTAAAAGGGACACTATTCATACAGTCCATTTTGTTATGGAAGCAAAGGAAAAAGTATGGAAAGATACTAAAGTATTAAATAAGTAAATATTAACTTCCTCAAGGAAGTGAGGAAAGGAAAATCAAATTTTCTACCACTGCACTGTTTGATTAGTTATAATAAATATGCATTGTGGGAATTAAAAATAATCAGTTCAGTTCAGTTCAGTCGCTCAGTTATGTCCGACTCTTTGCGACCGCATGATCCACAGCATGCCAGGCCTCCCTATCCATCACTAACTCCCAGAGTCTACCCAAACCCAAGTCCATTGAGTCGGTGATGCCATCCAACCATCTCATCCTCTGTCGTCCCCTTCTCCTCCAGCCCTCAATCTTTCCCAGCATCAGGGTCTTTTCAAATGAGTCAGCTCTTTGCATCAGGTGGCCAAAGTATTAGAGCTTCATCTTCAACATCAGTCCTTCCAATGAACACCCAGGACTGATCTCCTTTAGAATGGACTGGTTAGATCTCCTTGCAGTCCAAGGGACTCTCAAGAGTCTTCTCCAACACCACAGTTCAAAAGCATCAATTCTTCAGCACTCAGCTTTCTTTATAGTCCAACTCTCACTTCCATACATGACTACTGGAAAAACCATAGTTTGACTAGATGGACCTTTGTTGACAAAGTAATGACTCTGCTTTTTAATATTAATAAGTAAAAAATAAGAAGAGTATGTAATGTCCTCTCAGCAGGGAATCTCTTAGCTGATTAATCTACATATCTATCTATCCATCCATCCATCCATCCATCTCTAGAAGCAGATCACTATGTTAGCAATCTTGAAGTATTAGTAATTTCTTCATTAATAGATGAAAGTATTTAAAGACAACCAAAATCATAGTATTAAAGAGTTTTGAAACCATAAAGGTACAATACAGTCATTAAAAAAGAGAATTTTCTAATAAATTCTGAAATCCTTAATTAGGACAAACTGTATATCTAGAATGAAACTTCAGGAATTTTGAGGAAGGCAGTACTCATCTGATTAGTTCTAATGTGTGTGTGTTTTTTTAACATTGATTTATATTACTTTACAATTATATGCCAAATACCTTGTATTTTAATTAGGGAAACTCCCCAGCTAATAAACTCTGAGTTTGGAATACAAGATAGTGAAAATCCATGTAGTTCATTCACTAAGAGCTAATCAGGAGCTATCTTACCTCAACAGAAGTTGGGGAACTTGATGGTAATGGAAAGGGAGTAACAGCCATCTGATTGACTGCATCTTCATTTCTGTGAACGTTAAAATAGGCAGAATCAATACACAGCAAATGCTAAGTTCTTGGCTCAAATTAGAATCATTTCCCCAGTTATCGGTTGAAAATGCACACACAGCACTACAGAATTTTTAAAAATGTAAATATACACTGGTTTCAAGCATGCAAAGCCATTAGGCACAAACAGAAATGTATTACTGAAGGGAAACTAAGATACAATGATTAGTGACAAAGTGATGATGCTAGAAGTTGGCCACCTTCCGCTTGGTAAGTCAGGTGCTGCCGAGGATACTTTTGGAAAGGTACCAACTCTTTCAACACCGAGGAGTATAAAATTTTTATCTGGGTGGGTGTAACCTCTGGGCCCCATTAATGTCCAGAGCATTTTGTTCTCTGCACTGGAAAGGTTCCCAGCCTCCTCACTTGGCTCCTAGCTTTGTTCTGCCATATGAAGGATGACGGGATGTATATGACAGTCCTTGCATGGGCAGACTGTGTGAGGAGGAGGAACGGATGGGGAGAACAGAGATCCAGACAGACAATGCTTTGTGGGTTAAATTCATTCTACTCCTCATTACCCTAATTGGAGGAGAGGAGGTGGGAGCTGAAACTTCATTACTGGGGGTCAGGAACAGAACAACTCCTAGAACACCAGTTCTGATGGTTTGGGCTTACTTCCACTACATTACTAGAAATGGTATGTAGGCAGCGGTTCTGTAAGAGATCTGTCCTTTACTGTTTATTCACTTCACAGGACCAAAATAATTATCTTAAGATTTATGTGAACTTTAGGTTTCACAATATAAAACAAAGAGACTTCTTACTGGTATGTAAAGATCTAAGACTGTTCACAGATCTCCATGTCTGGTGTACATATGACAGCCACTGCCTGACTTAGGAGGGCACTCAAATGCACTTTTCACATTTTATTTTTTATGTCTCACCAATTGGAAAAAGATCCATTGGATGATGTCATTCCTACTTTGAGGCTTTAATCACATCATTGCCTTTACCTGAAATGCCTTTCTTTATATTAAATTTATACCCTACTCATCCTTCTCAATAATCTCAACTGTGTTTATTTCCCTTAATTAAAAGACTGTATATTGATGTCTTCCAAATTCACATTTAGCTTGGACCTGCAAACCCAACACCTACTTTATATTCCACTAGAGGTCTTAGAAACATTTTAAATAAAACAGAGTTCTTTATCCCACTCAGTTCCCAAAGGGTTCCATAGTCAACTTCCTCCCCACCTTAGTAAATATCAACAACATTCACCCAGTTGTTTAACCAGGAACCTAAAGTCATTCTTGAACACTCTCACCCCTCAACTGTATATCCAATCCATCAAGATGTCTTATTGATTCAACCTTTAAAATGTGTCTTGGATGTTTACATTTCTTTCCATCCTATCCTAGTACAAGTTAACATCATTTCTTTTCTGAATTAAAGTAAAAACCTGCCATTTGGTCTCCCTACTTTTATACTCTTCATCCTCTGTCCATTCTTCACCCAGCAGTTATTACGGTTCTAAAATATAAATCTGATTATATTTCTACCCCCTGCTTACGATCTTCCTACCATTCCTTAATGCATGAGGATCAAGTCCAAAATTGTTAGGGAACTTATCAGGCCTTGAGGGATCTGGCCCCAGCCACCACCTTTGAACTTGTCTTGTTCTCACTTCTCCCTCCTCACTCAGCTCAAACCCAGCTAGCTACACAGGCCTTCTTTCCATTTCTCAGCTGAGCCAAGCTCCATAAACCTCAGGCCTTTTCTATTTTTCTTTTCTGTTCTGAATGCTTGGTGCCCAAATCCTTTGTCTGATTTTTTTTTTTTTCTCTTTCATAGGTCACAATAAATGTAATTTCTGGAAACAAGCATTCCATGACTTCCACTATATGTTTGTAGCACCTATCTATAATCCTAGATCTGTTTACTTTCACAGTTTACTTAACTGATTTGTATGCACATTTGTTTCAAATCTGTCTTCCCCTTAGATGGTAAGCGCTCCAAGGACAGGACTCATATCCTTCCTACTATTACATCATCTAAGGCAAACAGTGCCTGACAAACTGTCTGTACAGTAAGTCCCCTATATGTAAATGAGTTCTGTTCTGAGAACACATTCATTAAGTTCAATTTGTTTTTAAGTTCAACAAAGCCTAGGTACCCAACTAATATCATTGGTTACATAACACTGTATTGTAACAGGTTTATAATACTTTTCACAAAAATACTACATTAAAAAAACCACAAAAATAAAGAAAATACATTTAATCTTACAGTATAGTACCTTGAAAAATACAGTAATACAGTACAATAGCTGCCATACAGGGCCTGGCATCAAGTGAACAGGCAAGAGCTAGAGGAGGGAGAGGAGATGGGAGATGGTCAAGCTGAAGGATCATCAGCAATAGGAGACAGAGGGCAAGCTGCAGTTTCACTCACGGCTGACTGTGATGGAAAGCATATTTACATCTTTGAAAGTTCGCAACTTGAAGATTCTTATGTAGGGGACTTACGAAACACAGTTATTTTAAGGAACTTCCCTAGTGGTCAAATGGGTAACACTGCACTCCCAATGAAGAAGGCCCAGTTTGATCCTGGGAAGTAAGATGCCAAATATTGCAAATAAGCTGGCATGATGCAGCTAATAAGCCTGCCGGAGAAAGCCCATGCACTGTAACTAGAGAAGCTTGTGCACCACAATGAAGACCCAGTGCAGGCAAAATAAATAACATAGCGATCACTCACTTAAATAAGGAGACAGAAGTAGTTTCAGTTCTAGAACTACTACTGACCGACCTTAGGATTTTGGGGAAATCAGTTCTAAGAAAATCAGTTTCCTGATCTCTTAAGTATGTAGGTTGAACTGTAAAACTTCTAAGCTGATAATAATTCTTTTGGAATAAGGCAGAACATAAATAAAGAGACGAGGTCTAGGTCCCATTTCTTGCTTTCAGTCAGTCAGTCAGGTCAGTCACTTAGTTGTGTCCAACTCTTTGCGACCCCATGGACTACAACACGCCAGGCCTCGCTGTTCATCACCAACTCCCGGAGGATACTCAAACTCATGTCCATTGAGTCGGGCTTTAACTTTTTAAAATTCTTGAATTATCTAGCACACAAGCCAAATGAAAGCAAAAGGGAGAAAACTAAAATCACAAAGTGACACAGAGCATGAAGAATATGTCTATTTCTTCTGACAGCATTATAGATGCCTTAAGCATGCACTATTATGTTAAGAGATGGCTGGTGTTTTTCAGGGAGTACAATCCATTCCTCAGCAGTTTTCTCATACACAGAAGAAGCAATCAGTTACCCCTGGGTAAGTAACAGCATTTTCCCAGAGGTGATTTCCTTTCCCACTCAGTTTCCCCCATGGAATAACACAATAGAGCTCAGCTCTAGCTTAGAACTGAAAGCCAACAGGACATGTCTGCTCCAGATTCAGAACCCATGGGGCAGAGTGTATTTGGCAGTAATTAAGCAGATGGCCTTTCATATCTCTTTCAAAGGTTACAGGCATTAAAAATACAGCTGCACATAAGTTTTTATTGAGAAATAATGATTAACTGGACCAAGTTATCACTTCATAATTTAATAATCTCCCCCCAAATAGTATGACTTCAATGGCTTTTAAAGTCCATATTAATTGTTTTAAACCTCACAGAATAGAAAACTGCAGTGGAGAGAAGAAAGCTGCTATAAGAAGTTACAGTTCATAATCCCTCATAATCCCTCATGAGTGAGTGTTCACAGACATTGTCATCAAGGCAGCGATTTTTTTCAGTTGGAGTATAATTCCTTTGTGTGTGTTGGTCGCTTAGTCGTGTCTGACTCTTTGCGATCCTATGGACTGTGGCCCGCCAGGCCCCTCTGTCCATGGGATTCTCCAGGCAAGAATACTGGAGAAGGTTGCTATACCCTCCTCCAGGGGATCTTCCCCACCCAGAGATGGAACCCATGTCTCCTGCATTGCGGACAGATTCTTTACAATCTGAGCCATAGGGAAGTCCCTGATAATAGTCATTGCTTTACAATGTTGTATTAGATTTTGCTGTACAACAATGCAAATCGCTATATACGTGTGTGTGCATGTATATACACATCCTTATATCCCCTCCCTCCCACTGTCCCCATCTCACCCCTCTATGTCATCACAGCACAATGAGCTGGGCTCCCTGTTCTACGCCGCAGCTTCCCACTAGCTGGCTATTTTACACAGGGCAGTGTGTTCACGTCACTCCCATGCTCTCAATCCATCCCACCCTCTCCTTCTCCCTCTGGTGTCCACAAATCTGTTCTCTGTGTCTGTGTCTCTGTTCCTGCCCTGCCAATAGGTCCATCAGTACCATTTTTCTGGATTCCATATATATGTATTAATATATGATATTTGTTTTTCTCTTTCTGACTTACTTCACTCTGTATGACAGACAAGACAACAATTTTAAAGAGAAAGAAATGGGAAGAGGGAAACTAAAGGAGAGAAAGCAGTGATACTTCACAAGGGCAGTTAGCCTGAAAGACGTCTGGGGATCCTCTGACCTCTCATAGTCCATGATTCACACGGAATGAAATCTGTTTGCTTCATAATTAACTTTTCATTTTCAGTATAATCAACACAAAGTTCTTACATCTTGGTGCCCCATACAGCACACAATCAGAAATTGTAGTTGAAATTATTTGCTGGTATTTGCGTTTATTTATTTTGCATGACTTGTATCTTTTTAAAAGTCTATTTTATTGAAGCATAGTTGATTTACAATGTTGTATGAATTTCTACTACAAAGCAAAATCATACAGTTATATGAATATGGTTATGCATAGAGGTTCCTCAAAAACTAAAAACAGAGTTGCCATATAATCCCGCAATCCCACTCAAGGGCATATATCCAGAGGGGAGATTATATATATATGTATATAGATAAAATATAGGTATGTACATCCTTTTTCATCTTCTTTTCTATTATGATATTATTCTATGATATCATTTCTATTATCATAGAA